CCACTATCTGAGAGATATCACCACCAAGGATGTCTCAGGTATCCACCATTTCGGTCCCATGGTCCTCGCTCAACAGTTGACAGTTCCACAGAGAAGATAAGTCTATCTTGTTGATTTTATACTTATCGGGATGACAGTACTAATAGATACATGCTATCTATATATATTTCAAGTAAGTTAAAAATATTATCTTAAGCTCAGTACTATGATTTATATCATAATATATATATACCTACAACTCTTACGAAGTTTCTACTATTATATATATGTTCCTTAAGTTCTTCCTTAAGCTCAGTCATATGTTCATTTCATAACATGTATAAGTTAACAAACTATCAGTAGTTGGTTTACTATTATACAGCTTAAGTTATCTTTATACCTTAAGCACAATTCTGTTATAGCTTATATATATACATATTGTAAGCTTACTACTTTGGTTCTTATAAAAGTATTCATTATAAACTATCAACAGTTTATACTATCACATTAATGGCCTTAGCTTAATTAATGTTCTATATACTTTTATTATATGCAGTAAATTGTAATAACCTTCTTTAAAGGCAGCTGTTATATTAACAGCAGGAATTCAGTTCAGTGCCTTCATGAAGTTCCCATACGGTTATTACAATGATATCACTTCAAATCACTAATTAGTAAAATCCAAAGTATATATAATCCCACCTCCTAATCCATAGGATTCTACAAGCAAATAAGCATGAGTCAGGATAAGGAAAAATATGAAATTTTTAGAGTAAAATTAATATTTTTATACTTATCCTGACTCATGAATAAGCTTCTCCGTCCTCCCCACTTAACACTTTGGATTTCTCGGAAAAAAGAAAGTGTTGGGCTCAAAACAAAAAAAGGAGAGAGTGAGGCACATGGGCTTGGGTGAAGCCCTCGTTCAGCTTACAGAAGGGAGGTAACTCGTGGTGAGTACTAATGAGTGATTCTTTATTGAAGGGAACTTCAATTGGGAGATACAAGTGTTCCACTAGGTTCGCCAGAAGAAGAAGACAAGCAAATAAGCATGAGTCAGGATAAGTATAAAAATATTAATTTTACTCTAAAAATTTCATAATTTATTATGTGGTGAGTTAAATTGTTAGGCTCAGCGGGAATATTTAGGGTCGGTCGGAAAATCAGAGCCACAAGCTTCTTCTTTTTTTAGGCCTAACTGAGAATGAGATGCTTAATGGGTGGATAAACTGTAAGAATGGTAGGTTTATTATGTATCAAATGGTACATCTGTATTTTTTCTTGTTTCTATTTGATGTTTTGCTTTCACTTGTACGTAAAAGGTACAGGCACATCATTTTCTCAAATTACCGTATGTTCTTGGTCTGCTATTCATTATTTCTATTATTTGCATACATTGATGCTTGACCCTCCTGTCTGTACAATGGCTGAAAAGTTGAAGATAGTATCCCTCAACTGCAGAGGTGTCAACAATAATATGAAAGAAAGCATTTCATTTCGAAAAAGCTAATATTTATTGTTTACATATTTACACTTTACAGCTGAAGATATTCAACATATAAAACAATAGGATTACAGCGCTACATTAGTCCCTCCATAAAAAATTCCAGGGAACATCTACAATGTTCAACAATAATTTTGAATTCAAGGCTCTAAGTACTATTACAGATGACTATGGAAATTTTGTTGCTACTTCTGTTAGGGCTGTAACGATCGACATGGATTGCAATTGTTGAGTCTCAGATAGCAATTAAATGATGGAAGAAACGAAAACTATTGATGCTTCGATAGCATGTGTGACTATCGATAGTTTACTAATTGACTACCATTGATAAATGCGCAGCGCAAAATACAGGAAGTACCTGGTTCGTTCACTTGAGTTATCTGCCCCAGTTAACTCTTACACAAACTTGACCTGGGTTTCAATTTTCTTGTCAGTTATCAAAAGAGACTGAAACTAGTTCAGCATGTATATATTTCATATAAACTATACATTCATTTTCAAGGAGAAAAAACTATTGGTAGTCACCCCTACTTTCTGTTAATATTGATGAATTTAAGTATACTTTTATTAGTATCTATATACCAAATAATGTTGGTCCAGATTTGTTTCCAAAATATTACCGATGCTGTTGGAAAGTTTGAAAATGAAAAAATATTAGTATGTGGAGACTGGAATCTAGTAGAAGAGCATTCAAAAGACACATACAACTACAAACACATTCACAATCCCAAGGCTAGACAAAAGGTATTGGACCTAATGGAAGATCTGGATCTTAAAGACCCTTGACGTGAACAAAAGTTTGGTGAAATGAGATACACATGGCGACAGACAACCCCTTTGAAACAAGCTAGACTTGATTTCTTTTTAATCTCTCATCAAATGATATTGGACATTAGACACTGTGATATATCACCTAGTTTAGGATCTAGGTCACTCCCTCATAGAATCATCACTCTCACTTTCAAATATGCCTCTTGGAAAATTCTGGAAATTTAACAATTTCCCTCCATCATAGGAAGTTATTAATTCCACAATAAATCTTCACTTGATCAATACAAAATCAATGATGATAACAAGGACAATGACTTAACATATTCTATTGATGATCAATTACTATGGGAAACTCTACCATTGATGATTAGAGGAAAGACAATTTGTTATGCCTCAACTCAAAGGACAATTACGTTGCATACAGAAAACCAGTAGTAATCACAATTAGCCTCCCTGGAAATCAGACTAGATAAATCAGATACAGACATAGCAAAAAATGATATACTAAAGAAATTAACAAAATTAGGACTGGTTTAGACGACATCAATGGAAGGAAAACTAAAGGGGTACTTGAAACTTGAATCCAGAAATTTCTTAAATAAATCCTTTGAAGAATTAGTCAAATTTGATGGAAGAGTCCTAAATGACTTTGATACTAAAAAGAGGTGAAATATTTTAATGAAAAACTATATACACAAGATGTAAGTCCTATAGATCTTGATGAACTTTTAAAAGATATTACCCTACCAAAACTAAGTAATGAACAAACAACTAGTATTGAGGTGGTTTAATAAGAGGAGAAGTTTTGACAGCCTTGAAAAAAATGACAAGTGATGAAAGTGCAGTTTTACAACAGAATTTAAAAAAAGGTTTTGAATGATCTTGGCAAATTCATGGTTAAACCTCTGAATTTTGCATTTCAAACTTGAAATTTGTCTGTCTTCCAGAAACCGAGACTTATAACATGTATTCCAAAAGGAAATAAGCCTAAAAGGTTTTTAAAGAACTGGTGAGGTGACCCATCTTGTTTCTTTTTTTTTTTGCAAGACTGCTGCTGCAGCCATTGGCAACAGAATTAAGCCTCTTCTTTCACATATCATTAATGAAGACCAAAAGGTCTTTATCGTTGGAAGACACAAGATCAAGATTAAGTTATGCAAAGTCTGGTCTCGCACTGAATTTACACTTTTAGGTATTCATTTTGGGATAGATTTAGATAGTATGGTTGAAAAAAATTGTTCTGATAGATTGACTCAAATTACGAAAGAGATGACCACCTGGTCAGCACAAATGCTCACTCCCTTTGGAAGAAACACAGTTTTGAAATCACTCATGTTTCCTGAATTAAATCACCTATTTGCTGCACTCCCAAATCATCAAGATCATGTTTTAGATAAACTTCCAAAGCTATGTTTAAGATTTATTTGGGAAGGAAATCCAGACAAAAGGGACATTATTATATGTTTCCTTGAACATGGTGGATTAAAGGTACTAAAAATCAAAGAGACAATTGCTGCCCAAAAGCTTGGGTAGGTAAGAATATTTTTTTTTATAATCCAAATAGGTGGGATTATCTTATTCTTTGAAAGTTAACATTTGGAGTTTACCTCTGCAGATAGTAAATACATTAACCTGCAACCTTAACTAATCAGTTTTGGAAGCATGTATTACTTGCTTGGGCTTGGTTCACATCTAAGCAAAAAGATACTATTACAAGTGAATTTGAAATCCAGTCACTGTCTATCTGGTGTAACAATCACATATTGGTAGATAACAAACCTATTCTGTATAAATATTGGTATAACAAGGGAGTTGTGTTTGTATCTGACATGTTGACAGCAGAAGGGAATTTTCTATCCTTTGATATCTTTATAGATCTATATAAACTCAGAACTAATTTCCTGACCTTTGAAGGAGTTCAAACAAGCAATTATTACATGCATGTTAAAGGTAAATATTTCATATTTTACAACTCTAAACATTAAACCGACCCTCAAAACTAAAATTCAGTGAAAAAGGTAGCCCATATTTCTATGAACACTCCTATGCTCTCAATTTATAACTGAACACTGTAATAAAAAAACAACTGGGATAGCTTTAATCTAAATCTACCAAAGGACTGTGAAGTATGTAATATTACCCCATGGAAGGGCACCTATAGCGCTGATCTAAGATGGTTTCAATACAGAATTATCCATAACATTCTACATACAAAACAGTTTTTGTTTAAGATCAAGTATATAGACTCTCCCATTTGTAGTTTCTGCAAATATAACATTGAATCAATTACCCATCTATTTTGGGACTGTGAAACTGTTCAAGATATCTGGAAAAACCTCCAGTCATGGCTCTTAACCGACTTGAATATTCAGTTACTTTTCACAAAACAGAATGTTTTACTTGGTTTTAAAGGAAAAAAATAATAATGAAGTTAATGCATATCCCTTCCCCTTCCTCCCTCCACACACATCTACTCACGTGCACTCACTTGCACATGCACACACACACACACACACACACACACACACACACACACACACACACACTATTGAAGCTATGGTGCTATCTGATGGGACTTTTTCCTGTAGAAATATCATAGATTTGTATTGTATACTTGTATATCAGCAAAATTGTACCTAAGAACCTCACGCATTGACTACATGTAATGTTCCTGTACATAAGTGGAAAAAAGGAAGTGGGTATAAATGTGATTGATCATATCAGGATCATTATTATTTTGCTTCAGGATTTCAAAAGAGAGTACTCCAATTACTTTTGGAAATAAGGTCCCATGTGAAAAAGGTGTCCATTCAACAGACTTCCAATGACAATTACCAAATAAGGCCTGCCGATACAATGGAGGAATTTATGGAGTTGGAAGAAAAGTTGGCAGATCCGGAAGAACAGAATCTTTTGGTATATTTTTGTGTTTTACTATTCTCTCTCATTTTGGCAAAAGCATTTATGCATTCCACTACTAAATGTTTGATGACTTATTCATTTTTTGTTTCATTTGGATTATGATAAATCTGTAAATAAAGATTAAGATGTTTGTTATGTAACCCCCCAAGAACTTTTATTTATTGATAAAATATATAACTTCACTAATGATTCCTTCATGGGATGATAAACAAACCACAGACTTTAATTCTTACACTGTTTTTTTGAAGGGATGTGATGATATATATCCCTCTTAATGGTTGAAATGTTACAGATAATTTAGAAGGAATTTTTAAAGGAAGTTTTAATTATGAAAAGTAAAATTTTTCTTTAATGGAATTTGCAGAAATCATCTTCAAAAATTGGTAGGACCAATTTTGTAGATCATATGAAGAGCAATGCTAAGGTAACAAGTTTTTAACATTTCAGTTGTTTACTTATTATCTCCTTCAGAAAGTTTAAGAGACAGATGATAATGCAATTTAATTACCACCCATTTTGTTTTGTCATCATTTAATGGAAAGTATGGCTTTGTTACAATTTATTTATGACTCCTTTACAAATATTGCTACATCAGGAGAACACCTATTCAATTTTAAATAATAATTTCTAGCAATCTCTAAATATAACTAAATCTGACAGAATATCAACAAACTTCCATTATTTTGCAGGACAATGTCGAACAAATTAATGTCGGTTATGAATGTTGATGGACGCAATGGCAAGGGTTCTTTCAAGAACACAAGGTTGTATACTGTTGTCTCTGGTAAGTTAATTTAAGTGCTTTTTGTCACCATTTTCATCATGACCATAGCAAATATATATGGCTGATTCCAACGAATAGTGTACACAGCATGTTTAGACGCATCACAATTTAGCATTACTATCTTCACTTATTTCGGGGTGCCCATCACGTCGGCACACATGAGACGATTCGGGCCATATATATAATATGACTTTTTTATATTAAAAATTGAGCGTATGGGAGACAAAAACAGGTCATTTTCATTCATTTTGACTTATATTTTGCAAATGTTTTGTTGAAAACGTGTTAAATACTAGTCAAACTGAATGAACAGAAGTTTATTATTTTTCCTTATCCTGACTCATGCTCTTTTGCTTGTCTTCTTCTTCTTGCGAACATAGTGGAACACTTGTATCTCCCTAATTGAAGCTCCCTTCAATGTAAAATCACTAATTAGTACTCAGCACGAGTTACCTCCCTTCCACAAGCGTGGGAACGAGGGCGCCACCTCTACCCATGTGCCTCACTCTCTCCTTCTTCGCCCAGTGAGCTGGACGTGAGAGCGACTGTGTCTCCCGACACACTATATCCTTTGATTATATTTAGTTAGTTACCTCGTATAGACATCTATAGAGGTTTAGCTAGTATCCTTCAACAATTATATATTGATATTTAGTCGTGTTTCTACTGTTTATTCACGGGGAATTTGCCCGTGTTTGTTTCAGTGGATTACGTTGATAAAAATTCTGTTCTGTTGCAGATTACGTTTTTATTCTGCTGCTGATCCGCATTTAATATGCCCTAGTTGTACCTACGCCATGTTCATTTTATTCCGCGTTGCAGTTCGCGGTACTAATTTATCCATTTCTGCCTTTAATAAATAATTACTTTGCGTTTGAGGCAGCGCAGCAGATAGAGTGGCGTATGCAGAGTCTAGCCATGACTGATACACCTGAACCCCTCGCCAGTCTACTGCTGTTGGTCGACCCCCTCCCGTCTGGTGTTCCGCTAGAGTGGTGGAGAGTGTGGGGCGTGATCCGCCGCCTCAAGAAGCGTCCTGCTTCCCCAGACATCCCATCGTCGCGCAGCCGAAGACTAGAGGGTTTCTACTGCATCTCATCAGCGACCTCTGAGGAAATCAGCGAAGTCTACTTGAACTTTCTCAGCGAGATTGTTCCGTCGCGAATTTGGGCCTGTATGATGATCAGCTGATCATCATACCTGATGTACATCAAAAGAATGACCGATGTCGGCAACAGTGATGTCAGCGCCAGATCAACATGCAGCCTGATGTACCAGCGCTGATATTCTATGATCTTCCTGAGGGTCCCGTAAGCTACCAACACTCAGCGCCAGACTTCGCACCCCAGGGCGGCGTCGACCTCTGAGGAAATCAACAAAGTCTACTAGGACTTTCTCAGCGAGATTGTTCCAGCGGCTGAACTGGGCCTCTCGATGATCAGCCGATCATCATCCCGGCGTCTGCATACAAGAAGCTGACGGGAGACAGCTACAGTGACATCAGCAGAGATCGCCATGCAGCCTGAGGTCTCTACACTGGCGTCAGGCGACTTCCCTGAGGGCCCGCCGCTAACATCGCAGAGAGGGCACCGACTAATTCGTCGCAGACCATCCCAGATGAACTGTTGGCGGCAAATCATGATCATGATGGAGGGCCACTACAGACTGGGAAGCAGCCAGCCCAAGGCCTGAGCCTTGCGAAGGTTCCAGCATGAGCGACACCCCAGAGGCACCCCATCAGCGTAACAGCCACGCAGCAGAAGCCACCAGCCGGCGAAGGAAGTCGCAGACCACCTCCACGAAGGACCCAGATGTACAGCCTTAGCGAAGGCCTTACGCGGCGGGATAGATCATCACCTGCCTCGGCTTCATCCTTAGATCGGGACTCAGACCATCAGACCTCACGGAAGCCTTGGCGAAGGTCAAATCGCCGTTCCCCAGGACGGACGCGAGAGGAAGCTTCGCGAAGGCCTTCAGCGAAGGACACCTGACTACACAAGAGCTTGCGAAGCTATCAACATTCTCCTCACAGGTCTCCGAGAAGGTCAACCCATAGGCGCCAGATCACCAACACGATCTCAGCGCCGTTAACGCGCCGATCTCTTAGGTACATCACCCGCGTCGATGCGTCTCACAGGTCACCACACAGAAGTCTGCACACAAGTCTACAGTCAGGTCTCCCGGCGTCACCCGACATAGAGATAGAAATACACAGTCCACCATCAGAAGAGCAGCAACATCTCATCAGCGATGCTGGGATAGAAAATGATGGAGGCATCATTTTCTCAGGCGCTGAGATCACGATATTGGATGGTAAACAACCTAGATCTCTCTTCACCTTCCAGAGTGGCAGCTTCGGCAGACATACCTGATGAAGGAAAGGCGAGGCAGGCGCCATCACCTTACCTCCGATCGACTTCGATTGCAGCGGTGCCACAGTATGTGGACACAGCCTACCATAAAGCCATAACAGTTCAAAGCGCCAGAAGCGTATGTTCTTAACATTAATAGATCTAGAGCGATCAATGAGATTTTTATCACCAGATTTGGTGACCACGACTTCTGAAGATGATAGGATGATCTACTTTCGGCTCTACTTATGCAGACCCAGCAAGAACCACACCCTGTATGAAGCTAGCAGCTCATATATTGATCGGATTCTAGACGCCGGCTAAGGAAGTCCCAGGCCACCTCAGCGAAGGGGCTAGAGCCTCACCAGTTACAAGGGGCGTCACAGAGGAGTAAGCTTCACCGACCCCACATATTGCTGAGTCGCGGCGTAAAACAAAACACTCACTCACTCACCTGTTGAACACAGAGGTGGATTCGCGAAGCAAAGCTCATATATTATATATATACTGATCGGGCTCTGACTCGATACCTTTGCGAAGGTCGCGAAGGCTAAGTGGCTCAAGTCTACCTCACACAGGAAATCTAGAATGGATGCCGAGAGCTTAGCGAAGTCTCCGGCGTCCACCGAGGAATTCTCCTCCAAGGTCTCCATATATTAGCCACTTTCGTCATATATAGCTACTTTCGTCAGTCCGTTCAAGACATCGCATAAGTTGTCTATCAACTGTATGCCATATGCCGTCTATAAGCCTCTGGCGAAGACAATTGCACAGGCTATTTACAACACAAAGCGTGCGCTTTATTAATTAATCAGCGGCGTTGCATAGATCTTCACAGAAATCAACCTTTCATTATAGATTGCTAGAATATGCAATCCCGGACTCTGATCGATTATCTACATGCGTGACCATTCACGCAGATCTGCAGACAATTCAATATCGAAATTGAACAGCAGCCTTGTTACAGCGAGTATAACTCATAATCGTCAAAGTTTCTGAGAAGAAATATGTACAAGTTCAGCTTTAATTCTACAATTATGACGATACATTCATGTATACAGTCTACAAGCTGACAACTTGCAAGTTTATTGTACCTTTATATAAGGAAGTCGAATTATATTCAAAACTGAAGTTACATTCACGACAGCCGGGAAAATAACCTACCCAGCATTAATATTACAGAGTGAGGTATTTTGGCGGAGGTTTTGTGGCGTTTACCTTAACCCTCGAAACACGGTCACTTTCGGGTAACCCGAGGAAGCTACGGTGAAGACCGGCGATTATGCTAATATCAACGGCGGCAAGATTTTATACAAGGTTTTTCCTGCTACACGGTGACATCACAGGCGGGTATTCTACAGAATCAAAATGCCTTGTTCTGATTGGACGGCGTTGGACAACGACCTACGCGAGAGTCGATCTTAGTTCACAGTTCAAGACTTACGTTACAAGTGAAAACTATATATCAGTGAGCGAGCAAGCCTCCTTACAGTCCAGTTAATCTGAACCTTCATGATTGGGCTGCTTTCTTTAGGTTAGAGACCTCCCCTGTCAAGTTAGGGCGAGGAGCCGCGGCAGTCAGGCAATTTTACATAAAGTTCAGCGAGGACAGACACACCTGGTTGTGCACCTACATTGTCAAAGGACTTAGCGAATAACCTGGAGGCGGCGGGGATACAAGTGGATCTAAATCCACAGCGTCTCAGACTACAGCTGAATTTCATAATCAAGCTACTAACACAACTAGATGGTTAGTAAACCTACTTAAACTTTCTGATTGGAGAATTAAAGCGGA